TGTCACGTGATGATTTGCCTTTAATGCCTTGGGCGCAATTTTGTTCGGCCTCGGCCTCGGCCTGCACTTGAGGCCGAGATGATAATGCCTTAGCATTTCTTCTTTTATCTTTGGGAAGGCGAAGTACCCTGGCGAAACGCTGCTTTTCAGCTTCTGCGAACAAATGCCAGGGCCGAGAGAAAGGGCTCCTTCGGCCAGCTCATGGCCGTGGTTTATTAGGCACAAACATTGCCCCCACATCCCTGGATTCTTTGGCCTCGGCATGAGTAGGGGCTGAATGGATTCCAAGGGATGGACCCTTTGCATTCCTTTCTGAAGTGATTGACAACTGGGGCATTAAATGCGCAGGCCAGTCGGCGCATTCCGCGCTTTTAATGCCTCAAGCACGTCGTGCAGGCCATCATTGCCCAAGGCGTCGCGTCGCCTCGTCAAATGAAACGACGGTCACTGTCATAACTTTGCGTGCTCTGAGTGCGCTGTCAGGCCGTTTCATCTTTCGAGACCAAACCTCCATTTTGAACTCCAGCGCCAGTATAAAACCCAAACTCCTTCGCATTTTCCTCCACACTCCCAGGCTTTCTGAGTTCATTTTTCTTCGAAGGTTCATACTATTCTTCCCCAGTTTCTTCACCCTCGTTCCCCAAACTTAAAATTATTATCCAGTGAGCCTCCTTCTTGCTTCAATCGCTCTGGAACCCTTTTTTGACTCCTGGGCTTCGGCCTGGGCTTCGCCCTCCCTTATTACCAACTGTCCTAATGTTCCTTATCGTAGCTTCCTCAAAAACAGGGAGCCAAACCTGCTGGGTCGCATGACTTGGCAATTTGGCCTGGTCCAGATGACTTGGCAGTTTGATGAGGGTGAGAAGAACTGGGACAATGACCTCGACGTGGCCGAATTTATGCGGCCGGATACTCGGGTGACATCCATGGCCGGAATGACGGCCTTCACCAAGGCTGAAGTGATGGCTCCTACCATAACTGGAATGACGACTGCTTACCATGTCCAGAGTGATGGCCGCTACCACGGCCTGAACGACGGCCGCTGCCACTGCAGGAATGGCGACTGCTTACCACGGCTAGAGTGGCAGTGGCCTTCCGTGTCTGGAGTGACGGCCCATGCGCTTTCCACGGCCTGGAGTGAGGCCTTGGGTGCAGGCTGGCCGTGGCTGATGACGATATAGGTAGCGAAGGTCCTGCCTCGGGGGAAGGCGCCTGATTGTCTTGCAAGAGGACCGAGGAGCCGAAGCACGTAGATTTAGGGTGTGATTTTTCTTATGTGTGTTTGTACTCGGCCAGGACCTGGCCGTCTTCTTGTAAACGCACCCCCCCCCTTTTTCATCCTGAATGAATAAAATGAAGTATGATTTCCTTTAGTTTGTCTTTGTCATGTTGCATACTCCACTTTGATATTTGCAAATCTCATAACCTTTCTGCGGCCATCTCCCATAATGACGGGATATATTTCTTCAAATATTGGCCGTTGATCGGCAAGTTGTGCCGTTCCCCATCTCTATCTTTTAACTGAAATGCACCTCGCCCAAGAATTCGTTCGATAATGAACTGTCCCTCCCAGTTGGGCGAAAATTTGCCGAACCGAGGATCCTTTGTCCCAATAGGAAGCACGGCTCGCCACACTAGGTCGCCCTCGGCGAAAGCTTTTTGCTTAACCCTTTTGTTGTGCCTGCATCAGGTTATAGGCATCGAGTCTAGATTGCTCCAAATCCTCCAACTCCTGAGCCATGGCTTGTGCATAA